CAAACCCTGGTCTCCAGAGTCCTAGTCCAACATGCAAACCACTATGCCACACTGGCTGTCTAAAAATAAGCTTATTTCGAGCAATAAATTGTTATTATTGAAATGTACACTGGGTCATGTTTTGCACACATGTCTTTTTGACATGGAGCTTTAAATTCATAGTAGAGACTCCTTCTTTCCCACATGCATGTAGTAATGATGCACCATTTCCCCCTTTTTACTGGATCCATTAGTTTTGTATTACCTAAAAGGAAATGGGGAAAAAAATTAAGCAGTAAGAGCTACCTTGTTTTCATGCTATTTACTGTGTTGTTCTTAAATTGTTGATGCAACATAACCTTCTGTTTGTTTGGAATTATGTTTTGGTGTAAGGAGAATGAAGCAAACATATTAACAAACCAGGAAAAAATGCTTCCTATCCAATCAACTGCAAATATTTAATTATGTAGGAAGATATGCTCCTAACATTAATTATGTTTAGCAGACCAATGCTGCATAGTTTTAAAAATGAAATGAAGAAATGTTCCAGCGCAGTATATTAAACTGCTTCCTTTAGCATTAGCATTGTGATGCAGTGGTTTGAATTTTGGACTAGAACTCTGGGAAGCTAGGGTTCAAATCCCCACTAAGCTGAGGAAAACCACTGGGTGATCATGAGCAAGTCACACTGTCTCAGCTTCAGAGGGAGATGTCCTCTGAATCAATCTTGCCAAGTTGGAACTGGAGTTGAGTTAAGAGGCAAGCCTGTATACTGTTGAGTGTTGGACAAGGACTCTGGGAGATCAAGGTTGTGCTGTTGTGTTTTGAGTGTTGGACAAGGATGCTGGGAGACCAGGGTTGTGCTGTTGTGTTTTGAGTGTTGGACAAGGACACTGGGAGACCAGGGTTGTGCTGCTGTGGTTTGAGTGTAGGACAAGGATTCTGGGAGACCAGGGTTGTACTGTTGTGTTTTGAGTGTTGGACAAGGACGCTGGGAGACCAGGGTTGTGCTGTTGTGGTTTGAGTGTTGGACAAGGACTCTGGGAGATCAAGGTTGTGCTGTTGTGTTTTGAGTGTTGGACAAGGACGCTGGGAGACCAGGGTTGCGCTGTTGTGTTTTGAGTGTTGGACAAGGACGCTGGGAGACCAGGGTTGTGATGTTGTGTTTTGAGTGTTGGACAAGGACTCTGGGAGACCAGGGTTGTGCTGTTGTGTTTTGAGTGTTAGACAAAGACTCTGGGAGACCAGGGTTGTGCTGTTGTGTTTCTAAGTGTTGGATTCTGTATGGTGAGAGGAGGTCAATGCAGTGTGTGCGTGTGACACCATGACTTACTGTACCAGGTGATGCCAACCCTGGTGATGCCACTACAGAAGTTCAGGCATTCACATCTGGACACTATGAATTAAATCCCAGTTGTTAGTCCCAACAAGAAGAGACTCACTGCTGACACACTGTAGAATTGATGTAGCTTGACATTGGTTTAAATGTCATGGTTCCCTCCTATGGAATCCTGGGATTTGTAGTTTGTTGTGTTACCAGAGCGCTCTAGCAGAGAAGGCTAAATATATCACAAAAGTACAAATCCCAGAATTTCATAGCATTGAGCCATGGCAGTTAAAGCACTGTTAAACTGTATTAATTCTGCAGTGTGGATGCAGTCTGAGTCATTGTGATCTAAGTTTAATACTGTTAAGGCACATCGGCTCTTTTTAATAGATGAGGAAGGCAAATTTATCTCAACTTCCACAATGTTGTGATATGTGTGTTAGAGGGAGAAAGAGAAGAAGGAAGGCTGCATTTTGTTCTCTAGCGTTTTGATGGTTAATGCTGGGCACATTTTTCCCTCTTTTAATTATGCAATGCATTGTAAGTCCCTGGTCTTTCCGATGCCTTCCCATTACATATCCTTTAGGAAAACTTGGAAATTACTTACCAGCCTTATGCAACATCATCAATGACAAAATGAAAAGAGTGTCATGGACCTACTGCTGGCTTGCATTGAATATTGCTGTGATTTTTGCCTTGAGGCGATGACTCAACCGAGGCTGGGATTTGACTAAAGGGCTGTTGTGTTTTGGCATTAGGTCCCCTGAAGAGGTATTTGTTGACATGCCGGCTTGGGATCTGAGGATAACTTGACAGGTTGCGTGTGAAGAAACAGCAGTTATGGGAGAAGGAAAGCGAAAGGGGAAAAAAGGAGGTAGAAAGAGTGCCGTGAGGTGAAGTCTTAAGACACCTTGTGGGCGTGAGTGTCTTTCTTTCTTTAGGGGTCCGATGTGAACTGGCATATCGTCTGCCTCTTAGGAGCACATATCTCACTTGCTTGCACTTATCTACTTCTGCATTTGCAAATAAAGCAAATATTAGCACACAAAAATACATTTCCAGCATTTACCCTTCCTTTTGAGAAGAAGCCACAGTCCAGGCAACTTTGCTTTGAAACTTCTCACCCCTTAGAGGATTGGAAGAATGGACAAGGATGCCTTTGGCTGCCTCCACACTGCAGAAATAATCCAGTGTGATACCACTTTAATTGCCATGGCTTAAAGCTGTGGGATACTGGGAATTGTCGTTTGGTGAGACATTTAACCTTCTCTGTCAGACTGTTCTGGTGCTACAGCAAACTACAGTTCCCAGGATTCTGTAGCACTGAGCCATGGAGGTTAAAGTGATGTCAAACTGGATTATTTCTGCAGTGTGGATGCAGCTTCAGAATCATAGGATCATAAAGTTGGAAGAGAACCCAAGGGCCAACCCTATTCTACCATGGAAGAAGACACCATCAAAGTACCGCGGACAGATGGCCATCCAATATCTGTTGAAAAACCTCCAAAGAAGACTTGAACTAGTCAGACATGCTAATTTTTTTCCCCAAAAATAGGGCAATCAACATGTTCATATGCAACCTTTTGATGATTTCTTTACCCAGAAAAAAAATAAAGGAAAGTACAGTCTGATGTCGCAATTTCAGTGTTGGAGTTTGAGAGACCAGGGTTCGAATTAGCCATGGAAACCCACTGGGTAATGTTGGACCACTTACAAACTCTCAGCTTCAGAGGAAGGCAAGGGAAAATCTCCTCTGCCAAGAAAATCCCAGGATAGGTGCACTTTAGAAATGATTTGAAGGCACACAACAGCAACAGCAACAACAACCTATGTTGCAAGTACCATATTAATTCCAGGATCTGAGAACATCATTGCAATAAGGTCAACACTTGTGACTAGTTGTTTTTCCAGAAAACCTGTCTCTTGTTACTCTTTTTGTCCAGTAAGAAACCTGTAAGGTTCTTGGTGAAGAATTTGACACCCCCTGCTCTTAAACATCTGAACAATGTGCTGGCTGGAAACAAAGCCACTGATCTTTCTTTCTGTAGCCGTGAAATATAAATATTAGTTTAGAAGGATCCAAAGAAGTTTATTATTATTGATAGACATGTAGGTACATTATACTTTTTTCCTTAAGCATCTCCTAGGTGGCTCATAATCCAGCGCACAGCCTTGCAGTCTCCCACTATGGGAATGATTCAGGTTTTGAAAAAGGATCAATATGGCATGAGGTATTTCGAGTTCTCATCATTGTAATGTGTCCGTATCATTTCAGTGACCCCCGAAGCCCTAAGTTGGCTGATTTGCTCACTGACTTATTGTGCAATTTTGGAGGGCAGACTATAATTTCACTTGGAACCAGAGAAAACTCTAGTGTTTACAGTTCTCTGTCCCTTTGCCTAGCCATTAGGGCATTCAGAAGCAATCGATACTTTATGCTTGTTACTAACAGCTGAACGAAGTTGTCAAGCAGTTAAATTACAAAAGATACAGACAAAAGAATATGGAATCACAGGGTTGGAAAGGGAGGTCTTGCCTTTCCAAGGCACAGTGTGCTATCCCTAAATGATATGTGCTGAGTGATACCCAGCTTTTCATAGTAAGCAAGGACAGAATTTATTCAACGACTTTGCTGGTAACCTGTTGACTTGTTCAATGGCAGTAAAGATTCATTTCCCAAAGTTGTTATCTGAGTCTCAGTCTATAGCAAAGTTCCTACTGAAGGATGATGGAGGGGAAAGACCCACTGACATAATACTACCAGATAGGAATATAAGTCTTTATAAATTTCATCATCATAGAATCATAGAGTTGGAAGAGACCCCAAGGACCATGCAGTCCAACCCCATTCTGCCATGTAAGAAAACACAATCTAAGCACTCCGACAGATGGCCATCCAGCCTCTGTTTAGAAACCCCCAAAGAAGGAGACTCTACTGTTCTCCAAGGCAACATCTTCCACTACTGAACAGCTCTTACCATCAGGAAGTTCTTCCTAATTTTTAGGTGGAATCGCTTTTCCTAATTTTTAGGTGGAAGTTCTTCCTAATTTTTAGGTGGAATCCATTGCTCTGTCCTACTCTCTGGAGAAGCAGAAAACAATCTTGCTCCATTCTCAATGTGACATCCCTTCAAATGTTTAAACAGAGCTATCATGCCCCCCTTAACCTTCTCTTCTTCAGGCTAAACATCCCCAGCTCCCTCAGCTGCTCCTCATAAGGCTTGGTGGTTTCCAGACCTTCCACCATTTTGGTTGCACTCCTCTGGACATGCTTCAGCTTCTCAACATCCTTTTTGAATTGCGGTGCCCAGAATTGGACACAATATTCCAGGCAAGGTCTCACCAAAGCAGAACAGAGTGTTACTATTACTTCCCTCAATGTAGAAACTCTATTCCTATTTATGTAGCTTAGAATTGTATTGGCTTTCTTGTCTCTTGGACAAGAAACCAGTGATTCCCAAACTTTGTTTCTCCAGGTTTTTTGGTCTTCAACTCCTAGCATCCCCAGACAGTTTAGCCAATACTCAGGAATCCTGGGAGTCCAAGTCCAGAACATCTGGAGACCAAAGTTTGGAGACCACTAGGCTAAGTTGCTGTCTCTTAGGACTAGAAAATGTGACATGTATTTTGTCTCTCAAAAAAGCATCACACTGCTAACTTCAATGCACATGGATACTAGTTGTTCCATTCTTTGATTTTACACTGAAGTTTTCTTGATATGTTTATTCATCAGATTAACCTCTGTTGCTTTCAAATAAAGCCTTGACCCACTCCTTTTCCTGCCATCTGGAAGGAAACAAATCAAGGCTCCCAGACCATCTGCAATGCTGCAGCTCCTCATGTTGCCATGTTGCATCTCTGATGGATCCATGTTCATCATGATTTTTTGCAAATTTCCTAATCACCTCATTTTCCTTTGGGCTTTAATCACCATATTTGTGCAATATTTTGTTTAAACTGGAGTTATACAGGGAAACATTTGTGTAAATAAAACTTATGCCAAGTCTGCAACTGGGGGGGAGGAGTTTTTTCCCCTTTCTGAATATCCCAGACCTTGAGTTCTTAAAAAGTATCTAGGGTTGCATAAATGAGATTTTTTCCCCCAGAGTCTCTTATAAGAGAGCTATCGAAAGACTATCTATCAAAAGACTATCTGTGACTTTGAGTTCTTTCCAAAACTTTGCTTGGTGTTTCCATAACAGAATTTATTTTGAGGGGGTTTGCCTTTGCCTTCCTCTGAGACTGAGAGAGTGTGACTTGCCCAAGGACACCCAATGGATTTCCATGGTTGAGTGGGAAAGCAAACCCTAGTCTCCATAGCCATAGT